GATATCAGATTATTAATGCTTAGATATGTATTTCAACCTACTTTTATGTATACCTAACAGATCCAAACTAATGAAAAGTTTTATTGTGTATACTACTGTGTATGTAATAGCCATTGTGCTTTAATATTTGTGTCATCTCTATTTTGTTTTGTCCATCCAATATAATTATTATGTTTACTTTCATGTCATTGTATTTTTCATGTCATTATATATGTATGCTTGTATATATTTTAATCACGAGAAACTTGTAGTTTAAGTGAAATAAACGTTCTTCTTCTTCTTCTTCATAACAAAACAATGTTGTTTTGCCGTTAATAGACTCGATAAAAAGTTCACAATAAATAAATAAGTATTGCTTAAGATTTGATTAAGTTTATATTTTTTGTCTTTCAGATGAACTGGTTAACAAATCCAATGCCATATATTAAATCAAATGAAATCCAAATTTTGAAACCAAAAAGGAAATTTGAAAGAAAATAGCTGGTTATGACTTTATCGCCCTAAAATCTTCCGTAAATGTTGTTATATAACTTTAACAAAATTCAAGAAAGTTAGAATAATATGTGCTTTTATTAACAGATATGAGCATCGCATCAGATTTAAAATGCGTTATCCTTACAACAAATTGCAATATATCTAACACCGGATGCGCAATAACTTTGTAATAAAACTATCATGTTAAAAACCTAGAGCTTTATATTTTGATTGTAAAGATATAAAAAATATATCAAGATAGTTTTACACAACTGAAACCTTTTTATTACGTAGCTCATATATTATGTTTCATAATTAAATGCAACCGACAAGATGGATAATAAATATATGAGAGCTATTGCAGAATCTATACAATCGGACTGAAAATCAAAAGAAGTAAAGAAATCATTATCCTTCACATATACTAAAGAATTGTCTTTGTGTTTGATTTGTTAATAAAGGGTACTGCTGGTTCAAATGACAACTATATGAGTCAAGTCTCTATAGATTTCATGACATATCAACTTATTCTATGGTTGGCAGAGGTTCCTTTATTGTCAATCTAGTATGTTTAAAACATTTAGCTATTTTTTGCTTCATCTGCAGACGTTTTGAATTTCATTTTTAATAGAAACGATTGTATATGAATTTTCCTTATTATTTCTAAGGAATAGTATTATTTTACATTGTCTCAAAACTGTCAATATCTGTTTGTTTAACATAATGCTAAAACTCAGGTTAGCATGAGGCACCAAGCAGTAAATAAATTTTAATCAAATACTTATTTTTTATGCAATATATGACTACGTTAATAAAGAATAAATAAGGACTACATTGTATTACATTTGATAATAATCTAATTGTATTTGAAGTATTTGAAGTATTTTAATGACAATATAGATGATTGCTAAGTGTTACATTAGCTGTGCATTCGGTTAAATATTGATCGAGACCGTGTTACACTTATAGCTTAACTGATGATATAAAAGTCGACATGAGATTTTTGTCTAACAGTTGTGCTCCCCTTCCATGACATACATTGCAATTTTGAGTTATCTGTATAGGCGGTGATCGGCTAAATTAGATCATTTAGCTATTATGAGGCAATTATTTCTTGTCAGCTTAACCATTTCTGATATATTTTATAACATTATAATGAAGTGCCTAAATTACCAGATAAATAAACAGCCCATGCTCTCTGTTAAACTAACCTTTGACAAATTCATATTTCATTACAAAAGTCATCCTATGCCCTAATTTCTGGTATACTAAGGTTATAGCCGAGTATTGCTTTGGTTATAGACATGTATTATATAAAATATAGGTACTCATGCGATTAAGTAAGGGGTTGAATTATTTGACAAAATATGATGTAACTACGATATTGGCATCGTTGTCTTTCTGTATTGGTCATAATGTAAAAAACTATAGCTTTATGTATTTATCTTTGCTAATGTATTTCATATGATTACATATTTTGACCAAGTATTAGCATCACTGGTGAATACTTTCAGCGAGTATGTACGTCATTATGGGAATTGTTTTGGATGAAAGAATTAGAGAGCGGTTTTCAGTTTCAATAAATATCAATTTTGTTTAAAACGCGAAAATACAGTTACTATATGTTTTATGGCTTTCCCGGAAGAATTACAGCCAATTTTAGTTTCGTTTTAAAGATTAGGAATCTGAAAAGAGATTGCAGCATTAAGCCAAATAATAATCGTACAAGCTATGTACAGTTTTAGCTTCCGGAATAGTTTGTTTTTCATCAAGCCATTATCATTGCCGCTGTTTGTATCTGTAGAATATCAATTACATAATATAATAAATGGTGTGTCATTTGCGATGTGATAGATCCATTTATATAAGGTTATCTCATTGTAGTTGATATGTAGCAGCCACTATACAGCTTAAGGTTATTTACATCATTATTATATTGCAAAATTATTGCGAAATATTTAATTAAATACTCATGCTATCATTAAATAAAAGCAAATATGTCATTTAAGTGCAGATACAGGTTTACTCCTATTAATTTTTATACGAATATGATTCACTATGCAATACAATGATAACACCAGCGCAATACATTTTGATAAAACATAACACTGCCATATTTTGAGACACTATGTTATGGGAAAGGTAACACTCTTTATACATTATACAAAACACTCTGACGACTTGTCAAGGGAACGGTAGAATTTGAATTTGTATCGTGGATGCTATAGTTATTTCTTTCAAGGTGAATGTTATTCTTTTTAGAGATATCCGTAAATCAATTGGTTAGAAATCAGTAAATCTACTCCGTGGTAGAAGCGGTAGAGATTGTATTGAAGAAGTTGCATTTCTACTAGCTAGCAAATACCAATGCACTGGTACATACCTTTTTGTTACAAACAGACTTACTGTTGACAGAATCAGTTTCATAGGTGCGATTGAAACTGCATTTCGTGCTCGCATAGACATAACAACGCATCAATTACTTCGAACAAATCTTCACACTTAATTCACCAAATACGTTTAATGGTGATTGGTTTTGGAATATTTTATAATTAGAAATTAATATAAATTTAGATGGGAATGTAGATTTTTTAACAGGAAAAATATAATTGTATCACTTGAAGATTCATTTGTTTTTGGACAAATATCATTAGTTGATTTCTTAGTTGCGAGTCTAATTATGATAATCATTGCTTTATTATTCCCTTCAAATTGCAACGGTTACTTAAATACTGACAGTGGATGAATGTTGTGCAGTATAGAAATGATGTTTCACACTGTTTTATATCACAGGAATATATCATCAACATATTTCGTAACCAAAGGAGTTGTTTTACTGATACAGCGGCAAATTGTATATTAAACATTAATGACATTAGCATATGCTTGCTACAGAAAACATCGCTGTTACAAAGGTCATTAAATTTCTTCTTAAGCAGATAATTGAACATTTTGTTTCGTTATGCATATATCAAAACTCTTTATCGAGTTTATAATAAGTATGTTTTGATTTGTGATATCATTGTACCTGTTTATATGTAATTTTCTTGAAATTAATATGATTTAACTAAACAAACTTCATGGATGACGATACAAAGTACGACATCGTAATCTTGCAGTGTCTTTATCAGACATAAACTTAGAAAGAATATTTATTTTCATTGTTGAATTAACTGCATGTTTACTGTATCTATCAAATATCTCCCTGTTATGAAGTTTTAGGGCTTCTTTTAATCCATTTTAACCCATATGTAACGCTTCACAATTAGCAAGGAAAACGTAACGGAACCACCACGCCCAAGAATGCAAATCTCCCTGTGAGAAGAATTGTGTGGAACATTCCTGAATATTAAACTTTTTTGTATTGTTATTTTTTGTAAGTTTTTATCAAATTTATTTTTACGGAAAACATATATGGATTGCAATTATCAAAAGTATTTATTATTTGCATGCGAAAATATATGCTATTTGAAGATTAGAATTTTATTTGTACAAATGTCAGCATCAGATTTATTTTAAATTAAAGGTATTTTTTATCCATGTTTTCCATATCTATAATTGTATTATTGTTTCTCTCAAAGTCAAAAGGTTAGTTGATAAATAAATTACACTTTAAAGATCCTGTTGTAATTACAGTTGTTACCACGCTAAGAGAAATTTTATATAAGTATATAATTATGCTTCTAAAACAATTTTCAAACATCGAAGGATATGTAAAATATGTACTGCAAATATGTGTCCAAATTAAATGTAATCATTGAAATATATGCATTCATTTCTTTTATTGAAAAAACTGACTGAGACTTCATAGAAAATGAATTTATAATTACCTCCCTTTATTAACATGATAATGTAAATTAGGTAATATATTCACAAATAATGCTTTTTGGAACTTACAATATTGATAAGTCTTCATTTGAGCATTCAATTTATGATATAAAATCATAAAAATTGAGTTACAGGATCTTTAAAGATATTCTATCATGCAGAATTAAGATCTGCAGTATTTTAGCATATACGTTTACTCAAGATATTTTGGAAGCTATGCAAAAGCATTAATTACATAAGATTCTGCTAATTGCAGACAGGAATATCTATTTCAAAGAATAGTTCACTTCTACAAACTTAGAAGTGATCATTTTGTTGCGTTATGCATATTTGAATGGTGTAAGTTATGTGTATTTGAATGGTGTAGGTAAATAACACTGCAGATAATTGACATAAAGATGCAAAATTACACAGATAAAACATATTATATTCGCATTACAACCCGTCAGCCTCATTCGTCAAACTTGCCAAAAACCTGTCTTACACGGAAACATTTACTCAGTCCAGAAACAAAAATATGTAATAGTAATCCCACAGACTTTAATTGTTTAATCTCAATACTGTTTAAGACTTAATCAAGGTATAACTTTAAAATATTATTAATCGGCGGTATTTGTTGAAGCCGATGTTTCGAATGCCATAATGTACGTTAAAATTTGTAAAACGTCATGTAATGAACAAAATGTTTGCAATGGTTTTACCCAGCAAACAAAAGACGTTGTACCAACGTTGTACTGACGTTAGACCCTGACGTTGGGTAAACGTTGGCAGAAGGTTGGATTTGAAAGTTTTTTAGACGTCAGAAACCGACGTCTATACAACGTCATAAAATGACCTTTATCCAACCTTTTCTGACCATAATCCAACCGTTTCTGACCATTATCTGACCATAATCCAACCTTTTCTGACCATTATTTGGACATAATCAAACCTTTTTCTGACCATAATCCAACCTTTTCTGACCATTATCTGACCATATGCCAACCTTATCTGACCAAATTTTCTAACCATGATTTAACCTCATTCAAAACTTTTGGAATATGATCTTTTTTTCATTTTAAAGCTCTTTAATAGGGTTGAAAATAAGCATTCTTATGATTTTAGCAATTTATTTTATACTCGGAATCACAAGTACAAAACAAGAAATGTGGTACTATATAACAAATGCAAGATTTACATAATATTTTTTGAAACTATTTAACTTGACGGTATGTACTTTAATAAAGCTTCATGTATTAATTAAGCATGTTAAACAAAATCCTTCTTGAATATTAACACTGACATTTTATATAGCAAACATCCATGCATGTGTTTTTTCTTATATCACCACTGAACTGATCACTCTGAGTTTGGGATTTTTCAATCATCTATCCAACTCACTGATTGTATATTTGTCTTTGTATTTTATAACTGAATCTAGATCTGAATGTTAAATGGAACAATATTCTTAATATTTTGTTATAACTATAAATAGCAATGTTCATGTATCTTCATTAGTATTCTAGCTTCTTTCGTCCTCCTCCACTATGTCGATCTGGGGCATACTTTAAGCGTATCATTACCGTCTCCAACCTGAGATCTCATCACACTTACTGAAATTAAAAAAAAAAAAATAATCAGTTACAAGTGCAAGAAATAAATCACTTTTACATATTATAATTAAACGAAATTCTAACAAAACTCTCCAACTACTTAAAAAGATACATGCACTTATTATTTTTAATTTAGTTTAAACCATGTAGTTTCGTGTACCTACTGTATATATCTATTAATTTTGATAAAAATGGCTTCGTGAAGAATTTCATTATAAAATCAAGGGTAATAAGATCACTGTATTTTCTATAATATTTTGAAATATACCTGTCACAAAATCTTGGCAGGTTTCCATTTTTCTTTTCCTCTAAATATTTTCATCTTCCTCATGAACTTTTGACACATGTTGAATTATCATACTTTTCACAATCTGAAAGACGAAATATAAACGTTTTAGAATTTAACCATGTGTTGAAAGGATGTTTGTCTAATACAATAGGCAAAATCAAATTACTATTAATCTTAGTTAACTCATAAGCGCATGAAAAACTGATATAACAAATACCAAATTAATTCTACTCCCGCAAAATTAATATTGTTATTTTTTTATATTCAAAGTACTTTGTACAAATGCTCATACATCAAAGAAATTCACATGTTACTGTCATTTTTATAGATATCATCTCTGCCCAGCATGATCTGGTCTGCTAAGTGTCAATAGGACAGACTGGCTTAGTGTAAAAACGTTTTATGATACGAGCATACAACTTGTTGATAAGCAGGCTAATTAACAAACTATTACTTTTATTGATTTATAACTATGATAATGTGTTTTCTGATTGATAATATGTTGTTTGATTACATTAATAAAAAGATAGCTAGTCAAATACAATGTGCTTTCAGATATATCTTACAAAAGTCGTATCATTTACATGTATCAAATGCCATGAATCATTATCATAATATAAGAAACACATGGTATGCTTGCAGTATGTGTAAAGTACTACAATTAACAACGAGTAGTTTAACAACTACACAGATATCAAAATCAAACTGCATCTGATACATGTGTAAATGACTGGCCCCTCATATAAGTGAAATTCATGTTGATAAGAAATAAGAGGAAATTTTATTTACCAGCATTTGAATAATAAGAGTCTTACGTACTGCATTTAACTTTTTATTGATTTCAATTGCTAGGATATTTCCTACCATTGATTGTGCATTTATTTGGCATGGCGATATAGTGTGGGAAAAATGATCCGATTATACAGACTGTTCTATAACAAATGATAAAGTGTTCTTACGTGGAAACAAAAATATTTATCTCGCGAAATCACGTGACATTAAGTTTTACCAGTCAAACATTTCAATGATTAAATAACCATCGAATCCATGCAAACATGCGGTAAATAAGCATTGAAAAACAATATATAATGTTTGCCTACCTTTTTCTTTTGTTTGGAATACACAACTTTGTCTGTCAACCCGTCGTTTTTTATCCGCCAATACAATTGAATTTCAAATCCGATAAGTCGCAAATTCGAATTTACTAAATAATTTACCACTATAAAATGAAGCCGTCAAAAATGATAACAACTTCATTGTAAATTATATAAACACTTCTTAGACTAATTCGAGGAGATAAGATATTATTTAAACGAAAATAGAGCAAATATATTTCATACTGATCTGCGACTATCCGTTTACAGAGCGCCACCTATCGCATATCGTACGTTAGCCACCCACGTGATACTGTTGTTTTGATGGAGAAAATAAATATATAATGTTCCCTTTCTAAACTTAAACTTAAAATTCTCGCTGTTTATGCTTTCATTTATATATATATTGGTTTCATAAATTAAATTTACCTATTGTCAGATTACCGACCAAAACCCGACGTCCAGTCGACGTCAAAATGCAACGTCTGTTAGACGTCGGGGATTCAACGTCGATTTGACGTTGTATGAAGGTCACCGACGTCGCGACCAAAATTCAACGTTGATCCAACGTTGGGTCAACGTCGGGTGTTTGCTGGGTATGTTCTTAGAATAATTGTTCAATGACTTTGATTGAAACCCCCTTTTGTTGTTCGACTGTTTCAATTCCATCACACTCGTTATCATATGTATCATGTCGAAGATTTGTGTGCTTGTTGTGAAACGTCAGGAGTATGTCGGTCTGTATATAATTAAGTGACAAGCCTTTATACTAGCCAACACCATTTCTAGAATTAAATCTAAAGGACGTGTTTTAATAATCTAAGGAACGTATAAAAAATCCTCGCAATCTGATCGGCATTTTACTCAAAAATGTGATAAAATTTCATTATTATATCACCATAATATAGTCCACTATGAGTAATGGTTATTCTTGCATTATTTTATTTTTATTATTTTTGCAACACACAATCAGTAATGTCTTAAAATATTGCTTAGTCTGGATCAAATCATTTTAATTGTTCACTTGACAACATTTTACATATTAAAATTTACTAAAAAATTTATTAAAATTAACATGAACCTCTAGAAATGTTGCTTGAAACACAACATTTTCTTCTTCTAACATAACACTTCAATATTTGCATGGAGTGCTTAATGTTAAGTGGCAGGCAGTACTTATCACTTCAACACAAAAATATCGCATGTCGGGCTGAATATTTAACCTGATTTCTGTGCCAAATTTACGACCCATAAGTGAATTACTTTTAGATTTGAGATGTAATTATCTGATGTAAAAATGTGGCAATATCATCGTATGAACGTATCAACAAATCTGTTTTAAAGTATAGTCTTCATTTGCTACCATTCGGTTGCAGGTGCTTGTATGTTTATCGTAAGAAAATAGTCATTATTGTAAGCAAATACAAATGTTGAAAGACATTTAAACCGCCCTCTATGATAATTAAATCAATAATGTACATGTGATGGATAATTGACTAGATGATAGAAAAGGAAAGTTTTAAATGTTCTCAATTGTCTACAGATAAAATTCGCGGGCATGATCCTGCTGTGAGTATTTATTTTGCAATTCTCAATTACATAAGATTTTTATGTTTAAAGAGAATTGTTGATAAACTCTCCTAACTACCCTAAAGATTTCAGTATACTTACAGTATTTTGTTTTCACTTGAATCGGTCTACAATGGACACATTTTCTATAAGTATTCCAAATATTGATAAAACAATATAAATGTATCATTTGGATATTCTTTTTAAAATTATCTTGAATTTTTTTTTGAAAGAGTTGTGATTTAGTATGAACATTTATATGAGGAATAATAATATTTTGTTCTAGAACAATTTATTATCTGCTTTATATAGATATCATGTTTCTCAAGCTTACCAACAACATTTGTTTGTTTGTTGTCACATATGATAATAAATAATATTAACATAATTATTTACGACAATACAGACCTTCTACTAGTATTATGAACCAATACCGTTTTTAATGTAGGACAAGCAGCAAATTTCAACTACCTAATCATTGACAATGTTAGACGGCAGTAGTCAGTTGGTTACACACCCGACTTTAGACTAATTATGTTCAGATTGTGTTCGGACTGCGGTTTGTAAAATATCTGAGTTAACACTGTGCTTATGCATTGAATTGTTAGCCAAATGAGCTTAGACTATATCCATGTAATGATTAATAAGGTATTTTAGCCTAGGCTGTGCGGTTTGAGATTTGGTACATATTTTAATTTTGGTATTATGTTTAACAGAACATTTCAATAAAAGGACAATATCTTACACATGCTTAGATTATGATCAGGATGCAATTTGTGTGCGACTGTTTTCATAGTGTTGGTATCGAAGACTGTGCCCAGGAAACGATTTGTAACTACCTTAGCTTAAGCTATGCTTGGGTAATAGTTCATAAGTGTTTAATCTTAACATTACCTTAGGTTGTGCTATGATGCTATGTAGAAAACACTGTCAATGAAGAGCAATGATTTTGCAAAATTTTAACCACGCGCTGAACACTATAAGTGCAATGTAGCGGTATGTCAGCTATTAACAATTTGAAGTGCTGTAACGTTATGCTCTCTATATTTCTAAGAACTGGTTCATTTATCTTTTTTGAAACATGTGTTTTTGACGTCTCACTTATAACAAATGATTACCCAAAGTCTGTTAAGTTGCATTTCTTAATAGGATTGCGGCATAATTGTTACGTCGAAGACCAACTAAATTATGAAATATTATCTGCTAAGGGTTCCCTGGCAGACATCTATTTTACTCAACCTCATTATCTTCCCACAATTCTATTGTATAATTTTCACTTATTCACTTGTATTTGGAATCATAAACTTTAATTTTGTTCTTGAGATCAAGGTCCCGAAATCCACTTCTTAGATATATGTGTTAATTGGAGAGGAAGGATGGAACAATTTTACAACAATGTTAAAGTTGATGGCACACATGTAGGTTGGAAATTCTTCAGATTAAACCAATTAAATATAATAAGACTTTACAGTAGATAGGAAATTGAAGTTTTACATATTGGAATTTGTATTATTTGATAACTAACAAGATTCACTAAATGTGGAATATTGTGTTTTGATTTGGAATTTTATTTTGTAATTTGGAATAGATAATACCTTATCTTAACAATCTATTGCATCAGAAAATTTAAAGCAATTTCAGTGTTATTGAATATGTTAAAAGAACGACTAACAATGACTAAATAAATTGTTAGTAATGGAACAAGAAATGTTAAAGCTCTCTATGACGACATTATGTGTAAAAATATAATATTTATGTATAAGACTGACACATGCTTGTTCAAGTTACTGCCTCAGCCTTGGATCATGTTCAATACTTAATTTAAGAAATATTTTACCTTTAAGTTATCGTAGGAGATGAATTATATTGATAACACAAATTGTCAGTCTTTAGCCCCTGATCACCGTGATTCAGTGATTTATCCTTTAAAAAGAAATGAATATTTTGTTTATGCCGTTAAATAACCGATGACCGCATTGAATTACTTATAGTACACTTAGACTCACTGTCCAATTCCTTTAATGAGTGTACACGCTTAATTACTACTTTAAAAAAAAGTTCTTACTTAACACTATCGTGCTTATTTAATGAAACGCCCTTTCAGTATCTCCTCAATTGTCTTTTTCATACCTGTATGTTTAACCTTTGTCTATAATTACCAAATGCGTACTCCTTACCTATTTGTTTAGCATAGACCGGAAATAATTGGTTGTCCTTACATTTAAACTTTTAGACAAATCGAAAATGTCTTTAAGGAATTTAGATATAAGACTTTGACCCCCAGTTTGTTTTTAAGCTTGCCATGTAAGTGGAGCATGCAATCAGAAGGCTAAAACAAGTAATTAATTACGGAAATAGTCAGTTATTTTAAAAATATGTCTTTAATTTGATCTGTGTTATAAGTTTGTAGATAGTGCTATTGATGGAACAGGAAGTGAATTCGCTTCTTAATTGAATCGAATGTTTGTAAAATTCCCCAAACATTTGCGAGAAATACAGTCATTGAATAAGTTTATTTAGAACATACACACTTGTGAGATTATCTCGAGATTGTAAACATTTGTTTGTTTGTTTTATCTTAATGCTAAAAGCCAGAAAAGCACGAGGTAGTAATCAGACAATAAATTTCTGCCAAACTGTAACCGGCATAACGTAAAATACAACAAAGACAGGTGGCCTTTGAGAATTAATTGTAACTTTGTTACTCATTTTATTAGTTGATTTTACGCCGCACCAACACAGTAAAGGTCATATGCCGACTTTCCAGCTTTAGTTGTGGTGGGAAACCTCTGGTGCCCTTCTTTGCATTATTGTAGGAACGAACGGGCACCTGAGTAGAATCACAGCCGTTCCGTAAGCTAAATGGATGCATGTACTAACTCGTTTTATATAAAGTAACATTTATTTTTACCCGAAGTTTTGACAAAAGATCTCCCAGTTTCTAAAATGCATAAAGTTGTTATATCAACCCGGATTTATCATTTACAAGTAAACATTTACCATTGAAAAAACGGTATATTTGGTACAAATGTGCAATGACAATAAAGTATTCGCTTTGAAACTATTTTATATTAATCTTGAACAAAATATTTTTTAAAAACAATGTAAAAGTGTAGCAGTTGCTGTGAAAATTACACTTACAAAATATTCACCGATGAAAGAATATTACGTTAGATATGATATGATAAGGTTTTATCTGATTCAAAACTTTCTGAAATGCCAGTTGTGTTGATATTTCACCTGTTTTTCTCAGCATGCCTTGGGATCATGTACACTCCTGGTATTGTAAAGCACTGATGAAAATGTCGACACAAGCTTTAGTTCAGAATTTGTGCTCTATTTATGGTGTACCAATACATTCAACTTTTTAGAATGGATCTGCTAAATCTAATTGTTTACATTTATGTGTAATTTTTTGGCCAGCTTAACAATAATTGATATATTTTATAACATGTAACTACAACAACGACAACATAAACAAATAGTTGA